TTACCTATGAAGCATCAACAACTGTTAGAGTAGGAGAAGCGTCTTCAGGAGCTTTCTTGGAGCTTTCAAACACTGTCAGAACTGGTTACGACGGGGAGTCAAAGTCCATTTTAAACGCATTAGAGAACTGCTCTTTTGCTCAAGCCTGTGTTCAATATTGCTCTTGTAATCGTCTGTTATTGTATATGATTCACAAGTTTCTATTCATTTGTCTGTACTGAATGTCAGTTGTTTGGTTTCTTCATTTGTTATATTGCTATGTGTTGTAACTTCTGTTGCCCCCTTGGCCATTTCAAATCTCTGAGCTCTGGAAGTCCAACTTTTCATCTTTTGGTCTAGTTTAGCTGTTCTCAAACTGTGTTAAGGGGCTCTGCTGAGGGGCCCAGCGCCACTGCAGAAGGGAAGGTGGGCAGGTAATGAGCGGCAAAAAATAACCAACTTGATGAATATGAATTATGCAGGTAAAATATTTTTTTAGAGTTTGCTGATTCTAATATACTGACCTTTAGTTCACTTTTCAACTTTGGTCACTTTTATTCTAACAAAGCTTCTTTCAACTGGTCCCTGAATCACAAACCACAATGGATGGTTTTGCATATTATTGGTAATGATTAATAAAAAACTGCCTTACAAAAGTTTGAGAACCACTGGTCTAGCCAATTATTCTTTTTTTTTTTTTTTAAAAATTGATTCTATATCATTTATTTGCTTGTACTTGGAAACAACTTTGAAATTAGTACTGAAAAAGTCCCTTTCCACAGTCACCTCTTCCAATATTTCTAGAGCAGGGCTGTTAAACTCCAGTCCTCGAGGGCTGTTGTCCTGAAACTTTTAAATGTGTCCCTGCTGCAACACACCTGAATAAAATTACTAGGTCATTAGCAAAACTCTATAGAACTTGACTGCATGCTGAGGCGGCAACCCCTAACCCTACTCAAGTAAATATAAGCGTTTGGAAACTGTACTTCTTAAAGTACTTTTATTGCACCATGTTCATTCACTCATGAGCTGCTGTAACATGAATCAAATGGCTGAATTGCCACCTCAACATCCAGTCAAGTTCTGTAGAGTCTTGCTAATGACCTACTCAGTTTATTCACGTGTGTTGCAGCAGGGACACATTTAAAAGTTTCAGGACAACAGCCCTCGAGGACTGGAGTTTGACAACTGTGCCCTAGGGGAATACCCAGGCATTCCCATGGTAGCCAATAGATCTAATTTCTCCTGTCATACTTGTGTGTGCCCCGAGGCCTCCTGCCAGTCTGACATGCCAGGAGAGGTCTACTTAAGAGTTCTACTTAGCAGTTCTACTTAAAGCACATTGTAAATGACTGAGGTCCTCACCCTATCTCTAAGAGTGAGCCCAGACACCCTGTGAAGGATACTTTTATCAGCCACTTGTATCTGCAAATCTTGATCTTTTGGTCGCTACCGCCAGCCCATATAAATAATTGAGCATAACAAGGTAGACTGACCAGGAAATTGACAGCTTTGCTTCTGCGGTCAGCTTTGTGGTCACTTTCATGCTCTGGTGAGTATTCCTCAACTTCCTACCAAAACTTAGGCTCCTTCCCCATTAAAGATGTCCCCACATCCCTTACAGCAAAAAAGCCAACAACTAGACTATCAGTACTTGTGACTTTGACTGGCGCCCAATCCAGAAAACACTTTCCCTCTACAGATTCTCCTGCAGGTAGTTGACCCATGGTACAAGACCAAGAACTTATGGCCCAGCCACCTGGTGCACACAAACAAGCTCCAGAGTGGCTTATCAACTCTTGTCATGATAATACATTAAGTTAATCTTAATTACTGTATTACCATGCTTATTTATCAGTTGCAGTAGAAAGTGCCTTTAAAAAATGTCAATTTAATTGTAATTGGTGGGTGAAAGTATTAGGAGGTACATATGTGTACACACAATTTGTATTTGATAGTTTGTCATCATCTGCATAAAAAAGTATAAAGTATAAAAATGCTGTAGAAGTATAAAAATAAACCTACCTAAGAGCGATGAGACAACAACCAGTGATCCTTTATTTTGCTCAAGGGAGGGCAAAGCTTTCCAGGCCATCTGAATATAGCTGAAGAAATTGACCTTCACAAAGAAACATTCATGAATCAGCATAGTCTCTCCATTTCCTGTTTTGAATGACCATCAAAATGCTCAGTTACCTTCATCAGCCATTTGGTGTGATCCACATCTCCCTCCCACATGCTGAAGGGGCTAGGCCCAATGTGATTGAGGACCAGGTAATCCAAACCTCCCAGCTTCTCCAGAGCATAATCCACCACTTTGTCAGGGTCAGCCTCATTCGCCATGTCTGCTGCTATATAAAAAGCTTTCTGGGCTCCTAAACTCTGACATTTTTCTACTACCTACAGGCCAAAATTATTAAAAATGCACATGGTTAGTTAATTGAGAGAACTACAGAATGTCTCTATTCATGACTGTCACAAAACAACACAAGTAAATGGCAATCTATGAGCAGAATTTCAACAGTTTATTACGTAAACTGACCTGCTGTAAGACTTTCTCCCTCCTCGCTGTGATAACAATTTTGGCTCCAAAGCGGGCGTAATGATACGCCATTTGTTCACCAATACCTGTACTGGCCCCAGTCACCAGTACCCTAGCCCCTTTGAGAGAATCTGAAACAAAGGTTTACCGTATTCAACATGGAATGGAATTGTTTTAATACATGAAAGGTTAATAGAAACAACAAAAATGTTATTTCTATTAGTCAACAATAAATAGAGTAAATGACCACAGTAACTATTGCATACATTGTTAATGTGTCTACGCATGCAGAAAAGGTTTTTAAGTGAACTTGATTTCAATGAAATAGTTTAGTTTATCCAGAATCATTCTTTAGGCAGATATATACACTAAAAAGAAAAGCTAATCTTAGTCCTCCATATATTGCTTCAGGTCAAAGGGCATTTGAAACTTTTTAACCTTGAGAAATTGCAAAATGCATACTCTTCATTTGGAATAGTAAAATGCTTGGATATTGTGTTTATTTATTTCACCAGAATTTCCATGCTGTATTTTGTTTTTGAAGGTTCCATATCACTCGTTTGTTGCTTTAATTCTTTGCCTGGTGCTATGAAGATTTAAATATCCTGCAGGTTTAAAGATTTTCACTCCCCATGCTGGAGAATGGAGCCATATGTCAGTACCCTTTTCCCCTCAAAGGTTTAGCTAAATGTGCTATCAACTGCATGTTCTCTCTCTTATTCCACTTCTTATTCCCATGAAGGGTTAGGGTTCATGCAGCAGACATTCAAACTGCATTTTTATTACTAACCAAAGCAAACACAAATTGTGTTTTTCGCATCTGAAACAAATTGTCCTGCGCTGTCGTACATTTGTGAAATATAGGCATTTAAGCTTTAAAAAAATGTGGTATTTTATAAGGTTACAGTGTTGCAGAGTAGAGCACATGGGATATGCAAGTATACATAACACTAGTCCACTGACATGGACCGCATAATTTCATTGCTTGCGGAAATTTGACTCTACAGTGTGTTCTCAAAATGTGAATAAATGCTGGATTCTCTCTTTGGTAAGGCCTTGGTCACATGCGGAGAGCAGATTATTATCAATTACTCGCTAACTTTGTGCTGTTTCTAATACATTTCTTGAACAAATCATTAAATTGTTACCTTTCCAAGTTGGCAGTAATACACACCCACACCATAAAACTGCCTTTTATTTGTTAATAATGTGGCATGTATTCTATTATTTCTTTAATTCTAATATGAATTGTTGGTTTCATTTTTAAATAGCAAAGTCTGACCTGGCGTTGTTTTTGTTGTTTTCCAGGCCTTCTGTACATTGTTTTTTTTTTCAAGAACGTAACTGGTAATTTAAACATTCCTGTGGTTTCTGGTTTTATAGCTCATGTTTTTGCTTTTTCAGCCTTTGATTCCATCACTAATTCTTTGAAACCCATATTGAACATGCAAATTGATTTCTTGGACTCAACTTCAGACCTTTTATCTCCTTAATCTGGCTACACCTGACCATAAAGCCTCAAATTGTTGGCCCGGGTGCTTTTGAGCTTCAAAAATCAAATCAAAGTTGACTGCACATGTATTAGATGTCTATTAAAACAGACTTCATATGTATAACAAACAATAAAAAAAACAAACAAACAAGGAAATTCGTCATGATTTAATTCATAATAATTATTTTTAAAAATGACGTAAAATATTGTAATTATGACTATAATAGTGAGGTGTTACGAGATACTAAGTTATATCTGTGACATAACCGAGTAAGCTAGCTAGGATTCCTTCACGTGAGTCTTACCTTTTTCATGTGAAACCTTCATTTTTAAGTTAAGTAAATCCGTAAGTGTGACTCTATTTAGCTGTTTTCAACTTATACATTGCAAATGCATACCACGCATATGTCTGGACCACTGTAGGTCCAACACCACCTAACACATTATTGTCTGCTGGACAAATCTGCATGCTTGCTGCAAGTTTGCAACTAAAAACAAACAAGTACTTTCTCACAATGACAAAGAACAGAGTTTACCAGCATCAAATCTGGGTGAAGTCCATTTGGCAGCCAGGAAAGCAACACATATACTAGCTAAAAGAATTTTTGTGACAGCGCCCATTATGGCAATTTGGTAGCAGCTGATCGGAAATGCTAAGCTTTAGAAGTTTCTGCCAACTTTCACAATCCCAGTTTGAGAAAACTAAGCGCATTTTATGCAGCCCACTATTTCTGCCCTCCTTCCACTTTGTAAGGGGCGGGGGTTGGTCAGATAGGTCTGCCCTCTTTCATGGACACAAATCATTTTTTTTTTTTTGTTATTTTAATACTATCTATTTTAATATCTATCTAAATCTATCTATTTTATTAATTTATCGAAGCGCCAAAATCTTTAATTTATTTGCCTGTATATTTATAGTTTAAAAAAAAATCAAGGCTGACGAATCTGCGCCTCTGAAATTACATCCGCCCTTACTTTTGAAATAGCAACTTTATTTACACAACACTGGTGCACACGGATCATCAAGCAGGGTTGTCCTTCAGTGCAGCTAACCAGCTAGCCTGATCTACGGCTCATTGTCGCAGTTCTCGTAATAACAGCTTCTTAAAGGAGAATAGACCGCGCTGAACGATGGCGACGAGGATTTGGCCTGTTATGAAGTTAGTATTTTTATTTCAACTCCCGCGGTTCCGTATACTATTACTGCTCTAAATGCTCTTATTGGTAATTAAGCTAACTTAGGCTAAGCTAGCTGTCAGTCATACCAGGTCATTTTCAGTTGATTTCGTTTTAGCTCCAAGTTTAAGACTTAAAATATGCTTTTCTTTATGGAGTTAAACTTGGGCTGATATACTAACTCTCTGCAATAACGTGAGCTTATGTGGGCGGTTGTAAATTTCCCAACTATTAACTGCTAACTTGGCATCAAAGAATAATTTGTTGTTTACTTTGATAATAACTACGTGTGTCTGTAGTTTCAGTTTGCCCTGTTGGGAAATTGGGGTATTTCAGATTAATTGCATTACTGCATCTGTTCTTTCATTTCCAGACTGGCCACCAAGGTGACCATTGCAGGAGGAGCTGTCTATGTTGCCTATGACTCTGGTCTCTTGGGGAACAGTGAACAGGGCTCAGAGGCTCTGCAGAAGGCCAAAGCAGTAATCCCACCTGCCATGGAGGAATGGATGAAGTACTTTGGTGTGGAGGTACAAGATGCACGTTATACACAACTAGGTCTTCCTGGATCAGTGCCACTAGGCCTAATACAACAGAAAGTAAAATGGTTTTATAAAGTCATTGCATTAAATAGATTAGTGCTGCAGACAGCAAATTTGATGACTCGTACCATAAATGTGTAGAAATTTCTTTTTGCTTTCTAGCCTTTCTCTTATGAGATCAGAAACGCTCTAATGCATACATAGTTACAGTACAATCATGACATCATAAACCTTTGTGAGGCATGTACTTTGATTCGTGGTAATGTATGTTGCTGACCTAACTAGCTCTGGAGCAGGTTGTGGTCTAGATTAGAGATCATCAGGTCGAAAATATAGTCAATAGCAATTCTTCAGATTCTCCTGTGCCTTAAGTCTGGTAACTGAGCCTTACCAGATTTAAGACTGAGACTTGATTAAAGTAAATATCTTTTCCAGCATTACTGACCAAAGTGCTTAAAGTGCTCATGCTCATACAAAACATTTAATACTACTGGACTGGCTGTTTCTTCCCACACACACTCACACCACTCATTTAGCTTCAACACTGCTGTTGCTTTATGCCTGTATTATTTAATCTTTCCAAATTTTTCAGATATCATAGTTGTAGCTTTGTAAGATCCGCCCATGTTTCTGACTGGTCGACTGCTGCCAACATCTAGCTGAATACACTCACAGCTAGATTGTTAAACTCTGGCTTGGCTTAGTCGATAAACACCATTGTAATTCTGCTTATCTTGGTTATCAGTGTTATTTTAATTGAAGTCAGATAATGGAAAGATATCCAGGGAATGCTGAAATTAGTTCATAGTACAGGTCCTAGTTCTGCTGACAAACCAGTTCGGGTGTTTAAAAAAAAAAAAAACATGGAAAAGAACGAGTATTTATCCATTTCTTATTTATGATTTTATTCACAAACTCCAACAAGCAAGTTTTCACTTGAAACAGTGTATAAGTGCGTCTGCTCTTCATGATTTTATTTTAAAACCTGATTTGTTTATTTATTCATTTATTTTTAGTAGTCGTACTGTCCAATTATAATAAACACTTTTTAAAATTTATGTACTTATTTAAACTTTTGCTCTTTTTCTAAATCAGACCTAAGATAAATTAGACCTTACAAGGAGTGTTTTCACCTATACTAATAGAAAGTCTGTATACCAGCTCCAATCAAAGCAGTGTAAGCAATGTAGTATGTTGTTAACAGAAAATAATGCACCCTATCCCTCTTGTCAGGCTCAGCTTCCAACCATACCTAAGATTGAGTTCTCTCCTGTTGACGCGTGGAATTCTGGTAAGAATTCAATTATTTGTTCCTTTTTTGTAGTCTGTTTTAAAACTATTTTGGTATTGGTATTACTTTTGGTCTAGATCCTATATTGACCCTGATTTTTCACTATCTAAAACCTAAACTTCTCTTTTTTCTTTTGTTGCAGGCGTACAGTGGACGATTTCAAATCTTTCTGAGGCCCCGACAAAAGCCACTGAATACACAAGTCAGGGGCTGCAGTACTTGAAGGACCTCACAAAGTGAACATGAACTCTCTGGACAGCCTCACATTATCAGTCCTTTTGACTTTTGCACTTCAGAATGACATTACTTCTTCAAATGTTGAACCCTGCCATAAGAATGAAGCAACACACAACATCAAAGAAAACTGCTAGATTAAAAGATTAAAAGCAAGGAGGCTACTCTGCTGAATGGGTACTGTGGTTTTCTAACTTGATAACTTTGATGGGAGATGTACATAATGGAAAGGAAATTTTATTTTTAAGAAGGCAATCTTTCATTTTGTGTATACCTCAAAATTGTGTATACCAAATAGTTGCTATCGGCACTGTCCAGCAGAGTGTTATTCTGCCCTCACCTTGCCCAAAAAATGTTAAGAATATCTGTGTGTGTATATATATGCAATTTCACTATTTGTGAGCAATATATCAATCTTAAAACATCTTGTCTCATCTTTAGTTTGATCTATCAAGTCATATAACATATAGTGCTCGGTCGACAAAAAGTGTAAGACCATACAAATGTGCAAAAATCTTTATTAATCATGACAATAATAATGACACAGTTCACTGTTGATTCTGCTACAACTTGAAAAGAGGGGGAGATGACTTAAAGCATGAGGAAGAGCACACGCAGCCATTTATGATCGGTTGACTCCACTGTACACGATGCAGACACACTCCACAGCACCGCGAGCGGCGATGTTTAGTGTCAACCTTTTTTTTTATCCAAATGTAAGAAAACATTACCCATTCTGCCACGTGTTATCACTTCTTCACATCCAAATAAAGTTTATAAACCTTGAGGCACTGATCAGATATGATGCATGCAGAAAAAAAAAAGCAAAGGCTGAAAAGACTGAGGCCAGTTCAGCAACTACAACACGGTAACGAAAGCGAGATGACGTCCACTTGGCAAGCGAAGAGCCTTAGCTTCCCAAACATTGATTATGCCTAATCTTAAAATAAATTTCTGATCCCAGTGGAGCTCTTCATTGAATTTTTCTTTAAGTTTAGGACTATGTTTAATCCATGAGTGGGAAACTGGCTGCTCATATTTGCAAGACTATGAGTTCCAAAGGCAGGAGTCAAGATTAGTCACTGAACAAATCGGTTGATTACAATCTTTAAATATTCATATTTTAATTAATGTACATTACTTTCTCACAAGAAGCTGGTGTAGCGTTTTAATGAGATACTCTAATAAACTGAAGTAATCACAACAGGCAACATTACAAGTAATTTTACACAAGTTTCGTAGATTAAATACTGTCATTATGTACTGTAGCTATTTTTTTTTTCTTTTACATGCGTGTATCTTAAAGCGAAATTCTGCCACATTTGCACTTAAGGAAACACCGTTTGGGGGAAACTATTAAAGTGTACCATTACCTAAATATGTAAACTTTATACAATAAAGTGCTCCCCACAATGTCAACAGTGAGATTATACAACCAATGATAATGTGCATTATGTTTGAAGAACTTTTTCAAACTGCATTAAGAGCACACACACATCACTAATACAAATTGATAGTTTTAAAACTTTGCTCCAGCTGTCAGTGTTGCCACTTTGAAATGAGGGCCAAATAGCAGCCTCCGGGGGCAAAGATTCATTAAGAGCACAGTCAGAGAAATGGTAAGTACAGTATTGCAAAATGACAAGCCGGAAGGCACTTTATGATATCAGTGGGATCAAATTCATATGCAAATTTAGTACTTTAATTACCAGCACAAACATGATACTTGCACTCTTGATGTTAGGATTTAGGGCCTGTGCAGAAACCTTCCTTCAAGGTCATGAGGACATGTTCAGCACAAATGGCATATGCAGCGTGCAACCACTTCACCCAGCTACGAAAGCTGCAATACTTCACGTGGTGCAAAGGTGCAGGAATATGTTGGCTTTTAAAAAGAATTGGTCTCAATTAAGATGATTTTACAATGCAACTTCCATTTACTTCTTCTGATATTAAGTTAATTTGATATTCTTTGATGAACACACACACACACACACATTTGCATCTGCCCATTTCTTTTAATAACTACCTCAGTGGAAAACACCTAGTCCATAGGTGTGTGTCAACACTTATCGTCAATTTAGATAAGCCAACATAAAGTGCCCTTTGAAAGGAGATATTAAGCAGCTTCGTTAGTCACTGGAATTTAATTAAGAGGAGCACTTTTGGGGACAGACGTGAAAGTGCTGCACAAATGTTGTGCAGTGCAATCTTTGACTCTGTCCAAACTTTAAAGTTGTATTTAAAGTAGAGCAGCAACAACAAAACAATAACTTTCTCTCTGCGAAACAGCCAAGCATAGCAGTGCTACAGTTATGCTGTGCATACAAATAAAAAAAGAAAAAAGAAATAAAAAGAGATTGCACTGACTTCTGAACAATAAAGCATGTCAGCTATTTAACCCTGTCTAGGCTTTGAATAACAGATTGTAGCAATGAGTGGAACAGTAGCAGGTGGAGAGATGTCGGGGGAATTAGATAAAAGTGTCCACTATCTCTAGGTGGTTTTGACAAGGTCATAGACATGAATATGAAAGTCATCATCATATTTGATGTAGTAGACAGAGGGCTTGGCTGGGACCTGGTAGATGACCAGGCCTGTTCTCTTCACACCCTTGTCAGTAACGTACTCCACTTGTTTCCCAACGAGACTCTCCGTCTCTTCTCCTGGCTTCCTGTCTGCAGGCAACAGGTGCTTGTTTTCTGTGGAGAGAGGTTAATCATTACAACACCAAGATTATAATTACAGAAGAGATGAAGAGTAAAATAAAAATCCTGCTGCTGGTGAAAGCTGTTGATAAAAAGAAAAAAAAATAATGGTGTCATTATCATAATTTTCACAAATGAAAAAAAACTTACTTTGTTTTTATACTTGGCTTTTTATACTCGTGCTATAAAGGTCAAAGCATTTTGCATAAAGATCTCTCTATTTGCATTAAACTTCACTAGAAGTTAATGTGAATACCTATCTCTGCCAAATCAGATGTGGAAATTTCTTCACATGCTGGAAATGGTCGTTTAATGATACTATTGATTCAATCCTTGGGTTTTATTTACACAGCATGGCAGCTATATTAGGTATCTGTAATACTCAAATTTAACTTAAAATACTTTATTTTAAGGGAAATAAAGTAGGCAAGTGCTGCTCACTTTCCTCAAAACGTGTCATTCTGCCAGAGTGCTTCTGTAAGTAAATAATAATGGATTGCATTTATATAGCGCTTTACAATTCCACTATTCATTCACTCTCACATTCACACACTGGTGTGTAAAATTGGCCCAGTTTAACTCATTTCTAATGCCATAGGACAAAAATGTTTCCAACTCTGAAAAGTCTTATATAAAACATGCCTACATTGAACAGAAATTAGCAATACCTGCTTCAGGCAGAATCCTGAGGTCTCCTTCAGCATAGTCGTCCCACAGCTGGTACATATAAAGAACGGGGTCCTTTTCATAAGTAATATAATACCAGTTGGTCATAACTGGTGCTTTGGAGAGGACCATGCCTCTCCACTCATTCTTCTCTCCATCTTCCTTTTCAAATAAATGCTCCACCGCTTTGCCAACCAACTCCTCCGCCCCTGGAGGTGTCTTGACTTTATTGTTTACTGTGGAGACAGAAGCATGAAAGAGGACAATACAGACCCAGCTGTAACTCCAGAATCTGAAGTATGAACTGATCAAGGCAGACGCTGACTTACCAACTTTTTCTGACAACACTTGTAGGTTGGACACTCTCTCATCTTTGAACAGCTCAATGCCATAGACGCAGTCAAAGCCATCGTATTTCACCATGAAGAGGGAAGGATTTACACAAACTCTGTCAAGTACTGTGCCCTTCCATTTGCTCTGATTCCCCCTCTCACGCCAGTTATGCTGAATGCGGACTCCCAGAATGTAGTTGGGGTCTGGGGTCACTGCGTCACTCAGTTCCCCGCTGCTCCGTTTTCTGGTAGAAACAAGACGAAGATGCAAGTCTGTGAGCCTGAGCCTTACACACAGGTCCAACAACCTAACCTAATTTGCTCTTTTAAGAATGCACCCGAGTCGAAATACAGTATGACCTTTGTCACATTTGTCAGCTATTTGTTCATTTCTGTGGCTTCCACGTGATTAAAACACTTGGGGGGGGGTTCTTGCTGTGATTTCTTTGTGACAACGACGGCACAATGTGACATCAAATACATACAGCAGACGCAGATCGACATACCTGCCCCTTTTCTTGGACATGCCTCCAGAAATGCAAAGGTTACTGATTAAGAGAAAGACAGGACAATTAGTTTGACTGCCAAACTGACAAGCACATGTATAATGATTATACATTAAGAGATGCCACACACACATATATATTTATGAAACAGATGCTGCCTGTTCAACAGACTGACAAGTCCTCGAGCCAATGAATTTGCATGACGGAATAACTTCCTGGGTATTTATTGACACAACATTACCATAGAGGTCACTGTATACTAAGACAAGACTGTGTGTGTTATAGCTGACAGCAAGCCTCCCCTCATCTTAGGATCACAAAGTCTTAACAAAACCGACTGACAACTTTGAGAAAAGCCGTTTCACTGCTATGTGCGAAATTACAGGATTTAATGTTAGAATGTTACAGTGTGGCGCAAAGGACTCACCAAGTTACACATAAAAGCTGACTGGCAAGGCCATTAGACCCTTTACGTCACATGTACCCTACCTGTCCTGGACTAAAGCCAGCACACCACCTCTGTAGGTTATCGGAAACAGTCTTAGCTCTACCTCAATGCAGATGTTACTGTAGGTAAGTGTAGGCGGACACATACATCCAGCACACTCTTCGGCGTCTCTAATGGCAGCTAGCAAACACAGCTAAAAACTGTGTGTTTACAGCCTTGTTCTCTACGTGGAACATATTTTCATTACCTTTAAGCAGATTTCATATCAGCATTGTTCAGTTCGTCTGGCAGAGAAATGTTGCCACACACCAACCCGCCTATGTAAAATCTCGCGAAACCTGTGGGAAAGGGAAAGGAGGGGAGAGAAGACTCTATATCCCGTCAAGCCGTGAGTCACCAGAGCCGTAGAGAAGAATGAGAGCAGGGCGCGGAGAGTGATGGGAAATGATGTTTTGGTGTCCGCGAAACTGACTTTTTTTTTTTTTTTTTACACAAAACATAAACAGTTTCCGACAGTGATTCGTGAATACTGTCAGCTCGTGTGTTCTAGAAATATGAGAAATAAAGCGGTTAAGTCTTTGGTACACGGGCAAGATGACAAGATAGCTACACAACACAACCAACAAGCAGGAAAAATGAGGTCAGAATTTTCTATGACGCAGGAGTTGCCTATGGTTTCAATTAAAGGGACAGACCGTATTTGTTTTAGTTTTTTGGCGTCACTGTTTGAGCTGTGAGAGCATTTTGTTTGTAAAATTAGAATA